GACTGATGTTGTAGAAATCTCGGTCAGCTGTGCGTGACCACTGCTATTGGCATGAATCATATTCGAAGGATCTCTTTCAATTTAGCTTCTTCGTTTCTGTCATTTCTTGTCGAATGTTCTTCCCTTTTCTTTGGTTGATTGAGAAATTGAAGCTTATTGTATTGTAATCCAGTGTTGATCTGTCTATTTGATCAGCTTTGTCTCTCTCCGTCGTCGATACAGTCCCTTGCACGTTTGATGACTATTCAATATGAGGTTGAGGTTACTTGATTGATTACTATGTTAATATCTGTTTAATGCTCTTGCTCTCTCTCTCTCTCTCTCTCTCTCTCTCTCTCTCTCTCTCTCTCTCTCTCTCTCTCTCTCTCTCTCTGTCTTACTGAATTTCTTCCCAGACTTCCCCTCAACCTCTTTTGCTCTCTTTATCACGCAATATGAATATATATGTCCTCTTCTACCCTTTTTATCTCTTTTATCTATAGCGCTCATTCTCCCTTTTCCTTATTAATTTACCCTAATGCTCTTTCTCTCTCTCTCTCTCTCACACTCCCTCTTTCTCTCACTCCCTTTCTTACTCCCTCTCTCTCTGTCTCTCTCTCTCTTTCTCTCTCTCTCGCTCTCTCTCTCTCTCTCTCTCTCTCTCTCTCTCTGTAACACTCTCCGTCTTTTGCGTGTCTCTCAGCATCCATCATCGGTAAGAACTCGTCGCTAGCATTTTGCATCTCGTTCCTACTTCACGCGGACCCGTCACAGCTTTTCACATTTCATTACTATACGCCACAGCCCCCGATCTATACCGCTGCAACATGTTCTGCTTGCATCTATGACAAATACGACATACGCATATACGCTCTCCTAGGACACTATTTGTCATAGGAAGATTCTTCCTATGACAAATATTGGCGAGTTAACTTCGTTTCGCTTTACAGCTGAAATTCACTTCTTGCGTTCATAATAGCGCTCCTAAACTCCTCTGATGCGCACAACACATGGAAGAATCTTCCTATGACAAATAGTGTCATAGGAAAGCGTATATGCGTTTGTCGTATATATTTGTCATAGATGCAAGCAGAACATGTTGCTTATATAGATGTTTTACCCCAACTCTCCACTAACCCCGATATCTCGCACACGCACGCGGCCGTAATGTACGGAGCGGCATCGCGGCCTTCTCTGCGCCGTCAGCACGATCTACATAAGACGCCGACATGATGGGCCGACGTCATTAACTGCAGATTACTTTCGTTCAATTGGAGCTGCAATAACAGCTGCACCGCGTTCGTGTGCGATTTAAATACTAATTCTCTACCGATCCTGCGGTAATGTCTCGCTTGGCAGCAGCTTGCAGGCAGGCAAGGACACGGGTGCGGCGGAGCGTCGAATGCTAACTAGAACACTGCCGCCATCATTGCTAGGACGACCGATGGGCTCCCGATGGAACGCAGTTAAGCACTGCGACCCGATTAACCGAGATTTCCAATAATCGGGTGAATAGGACGACGACGACGACGATAGTGATGAAGATGAAGTAGAAGATGATAATGATACTTATGATGATGGTGGTGGTGGTGATGATGATGATGATGATGATGATGATGATGATGATGATG